AGTTTAAGAAAACAGCTAGCTGGTTCAGAGTATTTGAGCATGAAAATGACCCCTTCMTTCTTTGCAGGACAGCATCATAAGCCTTTAGATAAGTTATAGCATTACTGCCAAGCCAAATTRTATGTATTTGATGCCTTAGCACTACAGCATTGTGGATCCAATCTTGCTCTCCATCAGCCCTGGTGGTGGGGAAAAGGATGGCTTGCAGGGGTACCACAGATTTTAGAAAGAGCTGTGGGTCCTGCTCTAGCCTGGCCATGGAGAGCTGGACACATGGCTTCACTGCCCTGTGCACAAAGCACTTCTGTCCCACAGGGCCCCATTAGGGCAGAGGGAGCTGTGGGCCCAGCTGCTCAGCCAGGAGGGAGCTCTGGGTGTGCTCCCAGGCAGCCTCATGCAGGCTTCGATGCAGAGCAGCTCTGTGGTGCACAAACCACACGTTCCCAGTGAAGTGGCCTCACTTACCCTGAGGTGTAACTCAGCCAGAACAGCAACAACCATGCTGCTTTTCGGCAGAAAGGAGACCCAGCTCGGTCCCACAGCAAGGTTCCAGTTCAACTCAGAGAGACAAAACTCAACAAGGCAATACAAAGTTGTTCAAATTAATCTCTCTGAGAGCAGCTTCTGCTTACAGAGTGAGCATAAAAATGGCATTTGCATTTTTAGGAAACAATGCCTGTCCACAGTTTGAATGTTTCAGATTCATTCTTTGGAAACAATTTGTGTGATTTATTCTGTTTTYCTTCAAGCGTGATTCTGTTTTTCTTCAGGGCTGCTTGGGGTGTGTGGTTTGACACTCAGCTTGTCAGTTTAGCGTTGTGAGATTGTGAGTTTTTTGAAGAGGGCACATCTGTGGTTATAGAAGAATAACAAGAAGTATCAGATGTTCAGCAAAGAAAAAAGCTGAGCTTGGGAGGATCTTAGAAATGAATAGTTAGCAGAGATGACATATTTTTGACCCAGAGCTGTAGAGGGCTAATGTGGTATCTGTAAAATCACTTATTTTTCAAGTTTTCAAATGCTCTCTGGAAAATTTAATAAAGAACAAACACTTTAACTACATATCTAGTTGTGAAACTTTACAAGCCAAGAATCTTAAGCACCAAAATTATCTACTTAAAAAAAAATTACTGAGAGCCCATAGGTCAGACAAAAAGGAATATACTCCAAAAAGCTTGTAAGTCAGTCAAAGCTTTAAGCATTAAAACTACTGCCCTTTTGAAAAGAGAAGGAAATTTCGGGACTGCAGCTTCATCCCCTGTATTAGTCCTTTAGATTATTTGGGAATAATTAAGGCTGACRAACATTTAACCAGTCTTTGTGCAAGAAGTAGTCAAGTCAAACTGCAGAGGGGTGTAGGCTTATGCAGGTTTCTGTGTAAAATGAAGTTGATCTAAACCTTGTTCAAAAATCAACAGCCAATGGGGTTTATAAYAGTGTCTGCCTTAGTTAAAGTGCAATTATTATTCTGGCTTAACCACCTGCACTGTTATCAAAAGACCATCATATTTTCAAACCTATTTTTTAATCTTTCTCTCCYATATTGATGTGAATTCACCTTCTCTGTTCTGGCTATGCAGATAAAGATACTAAACCAATACAACTTTGCTTGCATCATCTCAGTGAAATATTTTTAATGGATCAGATGCTTTGAGACCACATCCTCAGTCTGAAACTTTTGAACAAGAAGTTGCAAAAGTAACTAGTTATTTTCATGAATTCTATGCTAAAGTGATGTTTCAATATTTAGCTGCCAAAGTAATGTACCTACACTTTGAACTACAGCCACCCTTGCTAAATCAGTACTAGCCACTGATTCACAACCACTTATTCTAATTAGTAAATTAACAAATCAGAAGTGTCTGCAAAAGGTTTTCTCCTGACTGTGGATAGTACTTGCAGTACCRAGGTGTTTACGGAAAATCCTGCTCAGTGGCAAATCCTGATTAGGAAACGTTATCATTTTTCTGCATAATAGGTGAGATAGACGTGCCTAACATATGGTTGCTATAAAATACCTTAGATGAGTCAGATCTTAGCTGACAGCTGTAAGCAGGGTTGCTCTGGTTTCTTAGATAATACTAMCAATTATGGTCCTTTTTGCTACTTAACTGCTGTACTGTTAAATTATATTAACCTGATTTGTAGACACTCCTGTTTGATTAGAACAAAAAGGCAAGATTTATGATGTAAATCCTGATCTAATGTTTGCAGCTTATTAAAACTGTATCCAAAGTCCTTCAAGCTCTCTGTAGTGATGACTAAYTCTAACCTAATTGTGGACTCCCAGGAAACTGCTGCTGTCCCACTAAGTGTTCGATTTAGTTACATTCACTATGAAATTGAAGAAGCTAAAAGTGCCAGAAATGGCATCGATTTGGTTTACAATGATGCAGGATGTACCAGTCAGTAGCCCCAGTGGCTTTGGGCTCTGATCTTTGCATGCAGCTATCAGTGTGCAAAAATGTATTGCAATTTTGCCTTCAAAGTACAGGCTACCACAGTGTCCTGGGGACTGACTTTGAAGGAGGGCCTTTGCTGAGCAGCAAGAGGCAAATGCTTTAGAACCTTTCTGCTCGAGCCTGTTCTTGGAGAGGGGCTTATTAGATCTCATCTTGGGGTACCTGCAGGGTAGCACAGTAAAGTCAACAAAAAGATGGACATCTGCAGTCTACAGGGGTCACACTTACTGCACTGTTCTGACTGATTAGCCTTACTAAGTCTAGCACTTCAGTCTACACATTCAATTCTGATAGCAAAGTCTGTCTGTTTTCTTCAGARCTCCAGCTTGCACCTTGCTCTACAGCTGCAAGCAGCTCAGGGGGAATGGCTTTATCACACACATCCATACATTGCTCAGTGGCTGATGTGCTTTCACTTGCATTTTGGAACCAGAGTGCTCAAATGAGAGCTACCCGAAGATACGTGTTTCCAGCTCCTCCCCCTCGCTTCACCAAATCCTGTGTAGCACCACAAAGCCACAGCTCATGTTCTGCACCATCTTTCAGGCACCCCATCTCCCAAAGTACTATCCACGCTCTGAACAGAGAAGTGGTTCCAAGATGAAGAGTCACTAAAAGAAAACTCACAAAAGGAAGAGTCTCCACCAATATTACTTTCTGCCTTTGCTAATGGAAGGCACACCCACTTCCTCTGAGTCTAATCAGAGGACAATTGGCTGTCAGGTGCTAGAGATACACAGTTGAGAAACAAGGTCTTTATAGGTAGGCGCCTAGCCCTGCCTTGGATACCATCTGCTGCTAATGGAAACTTAAGACTTGCCAAAAAGAGAGGCTGAGTCTGTGTTTTCAATATTTAATGCTTACTGAAAATGACTGTTCAGCATTACCTGCTGTCCCAGTGAGATCAAGCTAAACTCCACCCACAGTACATGTGTTCCCATGCAATTGCAGAAACAAACAGTAAGTATGGAACACTTAGAAGCAAAGTCTAGAATTAGAGTGTAACCWCCTGGACATAATTTTGTCATAGTGGCATTATTTTTTTTTTGCCACTCACTTAAATTCTTTTGGTGTTAATTCTTATAGGTTAAAAAATTCAGGGTGACATAGCAGCCATCAAAATAAGTGAACAATAGGATCAGATTGCTTAGAAACTTCCCACTGTGTGGGGGCAGGTCCCCATTCAGTTTTGTGCCACGCTCTATTACAAATTACTCCAGGGCGAGCCAGTCTGCTGTGGTCAAAGTTCTGAGCTGACTGTTGTGCTTTCTTTCTCCCATCAGGGAATAAAGGCMGAGGCATTACCCCCATCCACTTCATACACTGCACTAAGATAAGTTTAGGGTCTCCAGATTTTAAGAGCATCAGTTCTCTCTGAAGTAAATGAAGACAAGCAGGTACCTAATTTTGGATGCCTAAATTTAGAAAGTGTGAATACTGCTTTCCMCTTCTCTCTTCCTTTTTCTTCTCTCTGATGTGCTAGTCCTTTTTTCTCCAGCAGTTAAGAGACATGTCCAGCTGAACTGCTCATCCCCTCCTGCACTTTGTAGAGTCCAGATTYTMTCAAAYKRGGGGGGGRRAGGGTAGAACATGGAACATCAAGATTCACAGAACCGTTTTTTTCCCCCTAATACCACAACAGATGCTTAACTTTTAAGTTACTCACTAAGACTGAAGAATGAAAAYATAGGTGACTCTTCTATGTGTTGTATGGACACAGCCTTTGAGGCCCCAGATACATCTCATACATGTACCATACTCCTTGTGGCTACCTGCATCTCCCTTTAAAACACAGGGTAGATTTCCAGTCCTGAATTTAGATGGCAGCACAGTCCTGTCAGTTATGCTGCTCTAGATTTACTAAGGAACTTCCTTGTTTTGATAGTTTTCAATTTAATAAATCAATCCYTCTTCTGCTTGTTTTAATGTTGAATTTTGCATTACCATATACAACTTGATTTGCAAACTTTATATGGATTCAAGGTCATCTCTTTAAAAACCTTAATGTATGGGTTACATTACGACTTTTCTACTTTCCTAAAATGGTGAACATCAAATGAACCACTCTGAGTGCTCTTTTTCTCTCCAAAACCCAGGAAAAATCACCAAGCATGGTCAATAGKCAAAAAGAATCAAAAGGCAGCAGTGAAAGGCTCTGTGCAAGAAAATCGAGTGCAGAGTGCAGTGCTTACACTGACAGTATTTACCAGACTSTGAACTGTACTTCAGTGTGAAAATAGACACTAAAGTTTTTCATCACCCTCTTTGGCCAACATAAAGACTGCTTTGGATAATGTTGAAAAAATGTGACTCTGTGTATGTGGTTGTTCTCTTCCTGAGATTATTTCATTACAGCTATAGAAAACTTGGTAAGAAATCCATTCTGTGACATGYGGGTGGGTGTCACACATTCCTCCTTTGAGGCAGAAAGACTGCAACAGCATGAAGCAAGCTTTCCTTCAAGCTTTAAATGAAGCTGTYCTTCTGTTCTTTACTAAATCAATTATAGGAAAAAAAYCAGGAAAAAAAAATCACCMTACAAGTTTGGTTTCTCTTCCATCCCCCTGCTATTAAAAGAGACACACCATGCTACAGTCCCATGGCCAGACAGCGTTGGATGCTTTACATGGTCATGGCAATGGATTTTGGTGACTTTATGATCCTCATCATCTAAGCAGCTGATGCCCTCACCAAGTTTATGCCCTTTCACGGAGCTCTTCAGAAATAGAGGCTTCTGTCCCATTTACCCTAAGCCCCAGATCCATAATGTCTCTCCACACCTGCAGTTCAGAAATCAGTCACTACTATTTAGTGTATCTGAGATTAGGCTGAAACCACCACTGACCCAAATGTCAACTGCTCTCATTTGCTTAACTAAAACAGAAAGAAAAACAGTAAGCACAGAAATAAGGCCACAAGAAAACAATCTGCCCGCCCACATAAAATGAGAAGGGGCAGAACAMCACCAAAAAGCAGTTTGAGTTAAGAAACAGTGACATCTGTTGAAGGACAGATAGTTGTAACAGAAATTTGTTGTAAGATGAAAAATGGTTTCTAGATTTGAACATTTCTAAGCAGTTAAGCTGTTACAAAGCATGCTCATAAGAAAACTACATAAATGAACTGATTTTTTGGTACCTGAGTTGTGATCTTTATAGACCAATTGAGGTTGACAGTATTGAAAGATCATTTTGAGATGAGTCTATAGCCTCTCTCCTACTCAGAAGTAATGGGTATATATGTATACTTTCTGCATTTATTTACGTGTGTGTTACTCATGTCTAATGGAGATGAAATCATTACAAGTGAAGAATACCCCTTGAGGGTGTTTCCAGCATACCACAGAAGACTTTCTTCTGGCCTTATGGATGGAGAAAGGTTGTTCTGTTCTCTTAGAGCAAGAAAAAGAATGAGGCGCTTACTACACAACAGTGAAAGAAGAGATGCAAAAATACTGAAACCTTATTTTTTTAGCTGCTGAGGCAAACAGTTAAAAGCAGTGACAATGGACCTTGATAAAGAGGTCTGGGGGCCTGCAACCTATTAATTCTTATAAGATCATACATTTCCTACACAGTAGGTGCTGAAGACCAAGCCTAAAAATAACTACAAAAAAGAAAAAAAAAATCCACACCATTAAACTGACAGGAAATGTAAAAACTTTCCAAATGAGAGCTAGAAAACCTGATGAAACACAATCATATTCCAGGTATGATGTACATTTGTAATGCCTTCTAGGTAGACTGAGTATGACAGAACTGTTGTGAGATAATCTTTACTCCCAAGGTAAATGTGCATGAACAGGATAATGGCTTACTCAGAATCTACTAGCTAAAGATAGAAATATATTTAACTTCCCAAATCAGAAGCAAATAGATGTAAATTCAAATTTTAATTTCTGCTCAGAGTATCATACCTATCACTCAGTCTTCTACAGAAGTTTATGTTTTGGTGAAGTCTTGACCCTTCTCCCCATATGTATCAAGTAAACTTTTTCCAGTAACTTCCACCCAGTAATTCTTGTGAATTTTGTATCAGACATACTCTGATCGTAATGGGTATTTTTTTCCCTATTGAATACTTAGAAAAATACATAGCTGTAACTGTGCATTAAGGTTATCCTGATTCTAAATTGTTGCTTTTACAACTACTGAACGTAACTTCCTGGGACAATGGAAGCTTAGAAAAGTCAAGCATCTCCTAAATAAAGTCTACTGCACAATGAAGCTTCCACAGCAAAGCTACATGAGTTTCTGTGTGTCAGGGGTGACCCACATATTAGATCTAAATATTATCATGAAGGAACTACACAACAGTAAACTAATTCAGTGTAGAGTTCCTTTAAGGTGTCCWATTGCAGAAACAAAAAGGAATAAGCTTTGGTTTTTTGAATGGAGTTGCTGTGTAGCAGCCCTGGTAAGGCTTGCTTCAGCCTCAACTAGTGCTGGCATTTGCTGCAGACAGTTACAACTTTCTTCTCAAGTCTCTCCAAGGACAGTGGCCGATGAACTGAGAACTATGCAATAAAACAGATTATGGAATCATTAAGAATTACTAGTGGACTAGTTTTAATTTGCAGTTTATAATCAGGCAGTGACAGAAGCAATTCCAAACACACTCAGCCTAAATAACACAACTCTTTGAAATGACTACTGAAAGCCGAAAGTTTTTAGTTATTATATATTAAAGTCCAAATTAGTAACGAGTCTGTTTAAAAATAACTTTTACACAACTTCAAAGACCACTCCTTTCCTTAGAAGTAGCAAAATAAACAGGCTATGAATCAGACATATTTGTGTACTGTTCTCRTCATTCTTAAAGGCTCCTGCTCCATGCACTGGGGCAACTGGAAAAATGTCAGCAGCACTGTTCTTACCATCAGAGGCTCACAGGCTTTTTTCCCCCCTCTTTCCCTGATCCCTGTGGATAAACCTTGACTGGAAGCTCCCAGAGCAAGAAAAACCTAACGTATCCAAATTCCTTTCTACTGCTTTTAAACACCTTTCAGATGATCTACACTTTTAACTTGTCTTCATGCATACCTTGACCAACTGTGGTTACAGTCAGCTTCTGCACAAAACTTCAAAATTTTCACCCATAGGAAGGAAATGAAAAAACAGAAATGCAAGCAGTGCAATTCATACTAAATGCATTTTTCATTTTAAAAAGTTCAAACAATTGAAGGTGCTCTTTTGCTTTCTGTACAACTATTTCAGGTAGTAGGGGATGCTAAGATGATCATGTTATTCTGTGGAGAAAAAAGGAGCGAGATCAGTAAAGTTAATACACTAATTACTTATTATATTAATTGAATCAGCTGAACAAGCAACATAAGGAAGGTATTTGCTCTTAAATTTTTTGGCCTACCTGGAATGAAAAATGTAATCTCAATATTATGCAAAAAATACATGGCTCTTAGCTCAATTTTTTTGTCACAAAAACTGAACGTAACAATTTTCATTGTAATAATTAAAAAACCCTGCTGAGTCTTTGCCATTGCAGCCACACAGTTTTGGGTTTTTCTATAAACTGTGGTAGAAAAAATTCCACTTAAATTGCAGTAACCAACTACATATTATCAAAAGATTAATGTGATAAGTAAGCAGCTGGCATTTACTGTAAGTGACAAAATGATGACACTCATTTCCATACCATACATATTTTTTTACTTTAAAATGTGCTTCACACATTTTCTACTCCAGCTGATACAATCTGTAGTTACTGTACATATTTACAAAATGCTGAAAATTAAATCTGTGGTTAACCAGCTTGGTTTTAAAGACACACAAAATACCTTAAAGTGTACTGACCATTCAAGTTCTCAGTCCATTCTAAATATTCTTGTTAAATTTTCCAGATCTTCACTTTTGAAATGCAGTTCTTCCAGTAATGTGGTCAGGAACTGTGTGTACACTGGGCTCGTCTGACTGTTCTTGAAAAGTGGAGTTGTTTGTGACAATCTGGAAAAAACCCAAACATATTTCATACAGAAAAGCAACTTTTGATGGCAGATGTTAAAAAGCAAAGCTTGTGAGCTCGAACAACTGTACTGAAGAAAGCTTATGTCACATATGATTCACTACAGTATATGTATGATATACAATAAGAGCTGTACCAAAACATTATTTTTTATTGATGTGCAGTGAAACAAAAAAAATCTGATTAGAAAAAATGAGAGTAGTTTGTATGCCTCTAATGAGTTGTACATGGGTGTTATATAATGTAGACAAATTTCAGAATGAACAAAGTGCAAAATGTACAATTACACATATAAATGGAAAGATCTGTCATTATTTATTTCTTTACAAAAAGCTTCTAAGCAATCATACAGTAAAAGTCGTATATTTCTTTGTATGACTAAAATATAAAGGAGATATAAAATTCTGACTTAAAATAATCATGAAGAATATTTATTAACAGGGCTCCTTAACAGAAGCTGTACTTAACTGGTAAGTCACACACTGTATAAATTCGTAACTCTTTCAAGAAGGTCACTTCCTTGGATGATTCTCCCCTGTTCTGTATGCCATAAACATCTCGAAAGACCAAAACCATCATGTTTTAAGATGAAATTTCTCCAAACACACAGCAGCCTTTCATAGAGGCATTCTTGTTTACTATTACTTTTACTTGATGCACATGGGAATGAGACATCAATTAAATTCTCAAACCAAGGAAAAATTTGAGTAATCAGAGCAATGTGAGAGTTTTGATAGTCTGAACCTTAAAGCAGTTTAATTTATAGCTCTTACACACTGAACTGTTAGAAAATAGGCATAAAGAAAACTGGACAAAAACAGAACAAAGCTAAATTAACCTTGAGAGATTTTTATATGGGATGATAAAATACAGTTTTAAAGCCGCTACTGTAGCAAAGATTTGCTATAGGGAAACTATCTTCTGTTTGGGTAACAAAATTCAGTGCTTAAAGTCTCAGAGTGCCTGCAGTTTTTTAATGTACTTCGTGACAGACAGGACCGAGTGCTTCTTAAAAACATCAAAGGCAGGGACAAGACGGATGAAATTATATTTCTGAACTCAGTGAATGAAGTTTAGCCTTAAAATTCAAACAATGCTGCGCTTTTCAAAATTATCTGTTTCCACTTTACTGAAAATCTGCCATGGAGGCCTGATTCTGAACTCCTGAGTAGATGGAGTTCATCCAATTTCTACTGATTTCAAAAATTACAATGAATGGAAGGTGAAAGTAGGACTTTCAGAGATGCTCAAAATAAGGACAAGATGTCGAAAGAAATGACATATGCATAAACTCTCCTATATATATATATATATAAACTCTTCCAACAAAAGAGAAGTATTCACAGTCAGATTTGTGATTTTTGGCCTGAGGCCACTCAGTTTTGTAATGTACTTCATGACAGACAGGACTGAGTTGTTTAACCTTTCCTGGTAAGGGGTACTGGGGTTACTCTGTGAGCTGGTAAATCCGAGTGCCCCTGCCCAGGGCTGCTGGGCCGGAGGCTGCCTTTGCATTATGACACTTTATCAGCAGGGGAATGGAGGAAGTGCTGATAGAGGATCAGAATAAGCATGCAGAATGTTAGTCTGGAGACAAGGATAGTGGGAGAAAGACCAGGAGATGCATTACTACTCATTTTCAATTCTCCCTTCTCAGAATTAAGCAGGTTATATATGAAAAAAGAGTGGTGGCAGAAACAGTCATGACTTCCTGAGTGTTGGTGCAAAGCAGCTGYAGCATTGTAAACCACTCTCCTGGCAAGGAAGTCCATTTACATGCATTTTTATCGGAATTTTCTTACTCCTGCCATGGGCTTAAGAGGATGTTAACAAGGACATTACTTTTCAAAAACAGAAAAAAACTTGTGCAGTTTTAAGGAATACTTTAAAACCAAAATCTTTATTACCATGAAGCTCACGTCTCTTTTTTTTGGAACTGCAGTTGGTGATATTACATAGTTTCATGAATTGCAAACATGTCCTAAATGTCAGACCCTGTTTAAGRCACTCTGTTTAAAGAGTAGCTATTATAGCTTACACCAAGAAAGAAAGAAAAAGGTATTGCTATTGTCAGAGAAATTGCCAGGCATTATATATTGAGAAATGGAAGTTAAAAAAAGTTTTAGCCATGGATCAATTTTTTTTYTTACATGAACTTCGTTTTAAAACTAATTACTAATTGTCTGATAAGCAAGAGACTAAATCAAGAAGTCATTTCAGAGAGGTATATGCAAGTTTCTAGCAATTAGTTAAAAGTTGCATCTTGATGGAACAATRCGTTAAATATTTATGAATATATGTACAAACACTTTTCTCTTGGAAAACTGTGTCCTTTTGGCCTTTAAATCATGCTTTAACTTGTCATTTACATGAAAACTGATGAAAATCAGTTATCATCAAGTACTTCTCTACTTTGAAGTGGCTATTGGAGCAGAAGCTTTTGTTTGGGAAAGGGACAAGCACAAGCTGCTAGTTTGCATGCTCTAAGCAACACTGATCCAATGTATATTTGAGGTACTGCASAACAGAGTATCGGGGGACGGTTTAACTGCATTAAACCTTAATTGTATGCAAACAAGCCAGAACAGCATTTGGGATCAGTATCTTCAAGTCACAGAAAATTACAATGATCCTATCTCTCAAGAAACTGACAACTAATTCAATTTAATGATTCACAGGATTTCAGTTTAAAGATTTCAAGGAACTTCCTTGAAAGTCTGCAGCATCTTCAAAAGATGTAGAATATAAACAGGAAATTGGATACCTGGGACCACAGTAACAACAGATTAGTGCAACAATGAAAAGATAAATTTTGCTTTTCTGTTACCTCTTTCACATGTTGCAACATTAATCTGGAACAAACTTTTATGAGTAAAGTCAAATAAAAATAAGAAAAGCTAAAGGATTAAGTGATTTTAAAATAACCTCCTACAGAAGTACACAAACGTAAATGTTACAGTCCAAAATTACACACCCATTCTTCAAAGGCCTGCCTTCAGGAGAGCTGCTAAAAGGAAATGTTCATGCTCAGATCATGGAAAGTAGTATATCAGACTTGATGAGAGTGTCGTTTCCTGCACACCCACTTACACCATATGGTAAACAGGCATTCGTAACGTTTAAAAAGTGTTAAAAATGTCAAACTGTATCTGATTGATAAAATTTGTATTTGCTGGCTATTCCACATATGTTACATGTTCAAGAAAAAAACTCCACAAAAGTGAATTCATGTGAAGACTAATCAGTTATTATCAAGCTATTAAAGGACATCTGGCTACCACAAAATGTTTACATAGTTTCACTGCTTCAGCTCAAGACCCAAGCTTTCTATGGATCAGTTGCCCTACAAAAACATTTGGCAAGTATATTTAGGAGTTAAACCTGTATTATTTTTAGGAATAAGTTTCATTAATTGATATGGTAGTGTGTGCAACTCATTCTTAGATCTAGGCATACCTTATCCAAGACAGCTGAATACATTCAGAAAAGATAAATTTTTTGTGTAGTTAAAAGCGTTAATTGGCTTTTCCTATCCAAGGGCATGAATATCATCCCAAACTATGTGTCCACTACCAACCTTCCCTCAGCTACCTGATCTGAGGGGAAGCTTCCTGGACTTTCTGTTTGAGATGAGTTCTGTGATTCCCTTTGAAAAAGTTAAATAAAATTTCCAAAGCCACCACTGGGCTAGCACTCAGTTACAGCTCTCTGAAATAGACACCTAATAATGGGGTACAAACACAACCACGTAAGAATTATGTTCCTTTCCATTCCCTAAAACTGGTCACTTAAAATGATACATAAATTATTGAGAATTTGAGTGCACATAAATTGCCCCAATATCATGGGAAACACTTGTATGCTCATGAAGAAAAGCCATGTGCTAATTCTCAGAAGACTACTAATAAGCTCCTCCTAGAAAAACACAAGCATTACCAGTCTTCCTATCTTTTTTCCTCTTCCGTTAGAAAAGAACTTTTTTACTTAAAAAAGTAAAAGCCACTGGTTTTGACAGAAGCCATAGATGTAAACACATTTTTTTGAAGTGCCTTACCTTGTTTGGCATGCTTGGAAGTTGAACAGAAGTATGAAAGAGAATGATGGAACAGCAAGCACTACCTCTCATTCCCTAATAAGCTTTGGAAAATAAGGTATCTTTCTGCCAATTGTAGGTATTTAAGCACTGTGAATAAGACTCCTAACATAACCATCACAACATAAGGGTTGAGGTTTTTTTATTCTCTGTTTCTTTCTATCGTTTGTTTTAGTCACTTAAGACTTCATTTTTTAAGATGATCATAACCAGGATCATTGGTAACTAGTTTTCTATTGGAATGAGGAATTGAACTAAAGAATGATCACCAAAGTTGCCTTAATACTTGTTTTAGAACACAGAAATGAAGCAAGAGCTGGCAGCACTACTAGAAGCACTTTTTCCCCCTTCCCCCAACAAAAACAGACACAGACTATTGCATACATGCTACAAGGGTGCCAACAAACATCTGATCAATAGATTCCTGCTCCAGCTATAACCATACAAATCATGCCATTCTAATGGGTTCTACTGCATCAACAAAGAAGGGCTGGGGTATTTTGTGTTTGTTTTTTTTTAAATACTTCAAATATATTGCATTACTCTTATGTTACAGATTTGATGGGCTCAGCAGTGCAATAAAAATGTTACTAATCAGAAATGCCTTTCTTTTAATATAGCAGTTTTATAGAACACACTTATAGATTTCATTTTAATTATGTTGCTTTTAAGGAAGTCTCCAATGCAACTGATTAAACACAAGCAATTGTTTTGTTTAAGACAACTGGCTAGACTGAGCCAATCCAACAAGTGTTACACAGCAATAAAACTCAGTGAATTAGATGGGCATTGCAGCCCATAGACCATCTGCCTGTACACACAACTGTAGTGCTGCCATGTATCAATCACGTATGACAGTGCTTAATTGATGAGGTGAACTCAAACACT